CTTAATTACTGTTGAGTGGAAGAGCTACTTAACAGTAATGACATAACATAATAGTAATGACATAGTGAGCTTCTAATATGAAGGTGCATCATTTTGTGTGAATCTTGAAAGTACTCCAGTGCACTGTTAATGTAATAAATTTTCTTGTTGGTCATTCTTTGTTAATATCAAGTAGGAAATTTTACTGTTTGTTATAAATAACTTACCAGTAATATTCCATGAAACTCAGATGATACAATAGGCTGCAGTATTTAGAATTAGGCTCTTGACAGTGCTAAACTTTTATTAATTTTTATGTAATTTGTGTACATTGGCAGAATATGAGCTATTGTGATTAAACTTTCTTTTAGCTTAATTAGATTGCATTTATTAAACAATGTGAGGTTAAAAACTTGCATAATATTTATATGGTACACCATCATTGTTTTTAAGAGAATCTTGAAACCAGGCATAATTTTATTCCACTGTAAGTTTTATTCAGACTTTAATATTTGTTGCACGTTTGTTATGTTCTATGCGCTGTGATATCAGTCTTAATTAGTGGTAGTGTTTATGAGACCAGGTTAATGGTCTTTGATGATTGTATATCAGGTCAGGGGATCCTTTTGTATGATTGAAACTATGCTTTATTATGGGAATGTAAGGTTAAATGCACATCCACACTCATTTCTCAAAACATCCTACAAGTTTAATCATTCTCATGGTTACATTTCCACAAGTACATTCACTCACTCACTCACTCACTCACACTCAATATCACACACTCACACTCACTAACTCACTCATTCTTTCTGTATCTCTCTATGTATCATTTACAGATAAACATTCTCATGCAGATGTCATTCAAAGCAAGGTACTTCACACTCACACCAAAAGCTTAGGATTTTTCTATTTGTCATGAGGTATATTCCAGTGATCCTATATTCAAGTGTGATAATGTGTTTGCTAGGATGTATACAGACCATTTATTTATTTATTCTGATTGTGTTTTTCTTATAAGTGATAGAGACATTCTTTTAGTATTAATTTGGAAGTCCAGAGTATTTTTCCGTGGGATTATATATGAGTCCAACTTCTATCAGTCAAGATAAATGTGATATTGCATTTGTAGATGTGGAAGAGCCAGCTATTGCTATCAGATTTTCGGAGTTGGATTTTTTTTATATATCTAAAAATATGCAGTCTGTTGTGACATAAAAGCCCATTTCTTGAATCGATTATTGATATGTATCCACAAGATATTGTACCATGAAATATTTCAATATCATTTTATGGATGCTGAGAAAACTATGTTTAGCTCATTCTTTTGCATTATCCCAGTGGTGAAATCTTACCCTGTGTGAGATATGTTTTGAATGTGTGAGCCAATCATGTTTTCTTTATTGAAAAAGTATTTATATATACAGTATATGAGATCCACCAAAGTCATTTCTGAATACTTCAGTAGATTACTGTACATATACACACACATGTGAACTTCCACAACCATAACAGTGAATGAATCAGAAGAAGGGTATGATAGAAAAAGTCTGTACTTGAAATGAAGCAAGTCTGTTCCCCAAACTGAATCAAATATCTTTAGTTCCTCTCTTTTCTTCCTATTTTTAACTGATATTTATTATTTAGATACTGTGATTTCTCTATGATAAAATGCTTATTTTGTTAGTGTAGAATACCTCTTTAAAGAAGAGTTCATATGTTGCCCAGTATATGGTAGAATATGAACAACGCTGAGACTTATAAGCTTCAATACCTGCCATAAAAGTGACCATCATCAATAGTATTGGTGTGTAACAACTAACTCATTTTAAATGTGAGAATTATGTGTACTGAAACTTCTTATTCATACAAATGGAATACAGATATTTCTCCCTCTGGTACAGATGAGTATTCAGTTATGTGAAAGATTCTTTTCATTACTCATTAAATGTTTTTTGGGTGTTATGAAGTTTTATTATTACTATTGTCATAATCTTGATGGCTATGACATGATAAGGGTTTGATTGATATATGATTTTTTATAATAAAGTTTATGAAATAAATGCTTATTGTTAGTCAGTGATCAGTATGAATGTTCAGATATAATTATATGACAACAAAGGTTTTATGAAGGCTTGCATGTCCAAAGATGTTCTCAGACCAGCTGCCTGAAAAATCATTTATTGTATGTTTTGCTAGCATAAAATTTCATCTGAAACATAAGCATAGATATGTTCACATTAATGCACGCTATCCTATGACCATAGTACATAAACATGAGCATATTGTTTATGTTATGAATGAAATGTTCAGCCAGCAAAACATTTAATGAATGCATTTTGGGCAGTTGTTCTGAGAACACCTTTTGGACACACATATCCTCATATAGCTTCAATATGGGCATGTCTGTCAATTCATGTAGGTATATTTATTGACATTCCTGACAGAGTTTAAAATGAATAGGTGAAAATCCTGTTTTTCATATCACTTCATGCATTTCGCATCACAGCAAACATAAAGGTTGCATAGCATATTCAATGATGAAAATATTACAGAGAAAGTCATAAAGCTTGATAACTTTAACAAAGCGGCTGTTTAATGGATATCATAGCATACATGTACCATACAGGGATTTTGTATTGAACTCTGGCAGTTGTCATTAGCTTTGACATGTTTTATGGATCTTCATGTGTAGTCTCAAGGTATAGAAGGAAGAGAAAACCAAGAAACCAGGACAGCACATGATTCTGTTAACTCAGGTTTTCTTGCTGTTATGTTTTCCCCGTCTTCATGATTCTTTCCCAGATAAGGGTACCCTAAAAGTGTTTGTTTTTTAAGCTTCCTTATCTCAGAAAATGCATTCCATTTAGAGTTTTAGTTTTTTTGTAATTTATTTGTATTATTTTATATTGAATGTGTTGGGGTGTAAAAAGGAAAAAAAGTTATGTATTTTTGTACTTAATCTTAAATGATTTGGAAACAAAGATTGCAAGATCTTTGTATGCCCAAACTACCTATCTCCTGCTTTGTTACACATTAACACTTGTTATATTGACAGTCCACCATCCTTTCTTTCTTAATCATTGTAAGGTCTCATTCATTTTCGAGATATGACAACAGTGAAAAAGGACATTCCTCTTCAGATAGTAATAGAGTGCGAGCATTGCCATCCTTGAGCTTCTATTGGCATAATATACCCAAATCTTTTAAGCTATTTGCATTGTAGGCTATTTGTTTTCATTTAGTCTCTGCATCCTTAGCAAATTTTTAAAATTCATAGATCTAGAAAAGAATAGTTCAACTCAATTCACATTGCTTATGAGTAATATAGTAGTAACACTCACTGCTGAGGTAAAAAGTTATAAACTTTTGTTTTGTTTCCTTGTTTTATTTAACAAGAGAGAAAGACTCAGTTCTACAGTTCTGAGTCATTATTTATACCATTCTTGAGTGTTTACTATTTATGTAGCATTGTCTAACTGGTCCTTCATGTTCAGACATTACTGTTTTCCAATATGATTCTGAATCTATTGGTATTTCTGTCCTAGTTGGTAATACATGTGTGGGGATATGATTATATGGTGCAGTCAATACATTCTTATTCTGTGTGTCAGATTTCCATGTGTGTTTTGATTGCCAACTTTATTTTAGAAGTTTTATAACTGATAGGTATTATGTTTCCAAAGACAATGCAGTATATGGGTGAACATGTGCTGCAGAACTAGACCAAGAAATATATTTTAAAAAATCACATCACTTTCATTTAATGCCATTTTCTGATATTAGGAATAACATAATTGTATCTATTCAGTCTATTTTCCCTCTATATTTAGATAACTATAACCATTGCTTCTTGTATCAAATGATAATAGATTGTTGTAATGTTTATTAGCAGAAAATCCTCTTTAGTAGGACTGATCTTGACTTCAGTTGCTCATTATTCCATCACAGTCAATAGTTGATATTTCCACCTTTGGTTAATGATAACTCAGGGTATGGGGTCCTGACTGGGGTTGCACTTTTGGCTCACGTTTTTCTAATAAATTTGGTGCTCGCTGATACATGTTATGGGAGTAACGTTTTTCTTCCATGGCTTCAATCTTATTTAGACTATATACTTTATTCTTCTTATGTTGGGAAATTTTTGTGATTTTATAACTTCTTTGTTGGTTTTTGCAATTTGAGATTTTTGTGAATGCACTGATGCATAATGTTTGTTATTATATTCATTTTGAAAATAGTACATGTCAAAAGAGTTTTTAAATATCAGCACAAATATATATCTTCCTTTCTATCTTTCTTTCTTTATGACATGTTCAGAGTTGTGGCATTATTTTTACAGTGAATGATTTTTTTTATTATTATTATTTTATGTGCTTTGTATTGTTTGTGTGGCAGTGTGGCAATGTGTTTTAACTTATCAATATTTAGAAAATATGTATGATTTGTACATAATAAAACGTAGTAAATGAAACCTCAGTTTTGTATTCATTACCATAAAAGAACATTTGTCTGTAATAATATTATCGTGAAGTTATCTGATTAATTTGAATAATATTCTGGAACAGACCAATATAAATTGAAAAAATAATAATAATCAGACAGCCTTTAAAGCCTTGATTAAATATCTACTTGATGATCATATTTCTCTTTTTTTTTTTAACATGGCCATCTTAATGTGGGAATGTGATTTATATGAGATAATGATTAAATTGCACACAGTGGCAATTTTAAATCCTGGTTTTCAAGCTCATAGGCTGACATTTTTTCTAAGGTATAGCGAAACTTTGCAATAATAAAACCATATTTTAGGATAATTTCCTTGAAAATTATGGTCATTAAACATAGTTTTTAAAAAGACTTGCTTTCTTTCAGAAGGGAATGTAGCAAAGTTCCCATCATACATTCCCATTGGATTCCACATAGTTTACTCCCTCAAAATGAAATCCAAAGAGATACATTAAACACATTAGAGGAGGAGGTGGTACAGGAGGATGAAAAGAGGATAATGGTGGAAAATT